GTAGCCATGGTTAGAAATGAAAGGATCCGTCTGATAGGTGACATCACGCCCTGACTGTTACTATCATTATCTGTTCTGTCGTGTTCACATAGTTTAGAAGATTGAAAACACAACATTTGTGTGGGCAGTGTAAGCCTAATGGAACATGCAGTGTATTAATATTTCTGAATTCCCTTGCATTTACTCAGTTATCGATTGTGCTCTTACTTGTCATCATTTTCATTGTTACAAAGCAGCTTTTGAACTGCAAATTTTACTTCACTTTTGTGTCTCTCTCTCTGTGCAATTGCCTCTTTTCCAACACTATTCTATGAATGCGTGCAGCTTCTGGACACACACTCGCCATGCACACCAATATGCACACACATACACATTACATATTGTTTGGACTTGCATGTGAAAATAGCAAGAACAAAAGTTTCATTCAAGGTCCACTTACTAACTTTCCCAACCAATAAAAATACCCATATAGACAGCTGGTTGTCTCACATGAATGTTGACAAAAGAATAGTGTTCGTTGAAGATATATTGCAATTGCGTCACCAATAAACATACAGATATTGTGATATTTAAAGGAAACAATTTGACATTTTGAAAAAATACTACCTTTCTTGATGCTGCAAGACAGCAAATGGTTTCCCAAAATGTCAAACTATCCCTTTAAAGATAAAACAATGATCCAAACCAGCATAAAGTAATCCCATTTGAACCCTGTTTATCTGCTAAAAGTCAAATCTTGACACGGCCCTTTACACCATAGAAGCTTTGGCTGCAGCTCCATCCCCTGGTTTGTTATGGGTGTTGATGCTGTGTGTGTGTGTGTGTGTGTGTGTGTATGGCTCGACCTTGGGAGCACTGCTGGGTGCCATTGATTTGTTTACCTGTGCGCTCCTGACAGTTTCTCATTAGGTTTCTTTTGCACAACACTTCCAGGAGAGGAGACCGGAGTCTGCACTTCACAGCCGACGATGCGTGATCAATGTACCTGATAGATTGGCGCCGGCAATATAATTCCGTTGAATGGCTGTTTAATGGATGTGAGCACTCCATTTAGTAGCCACAATAAGGTGCCTTTTGTGACTGAAGCGGCATTGTGGGGCTGAACGAGGAGGACAACAATATCTTGAAAGAAGGGGTTTGTTAAAATTACTTTGCAAGACAAGAGAGACTGCAGGAGGAATTGCGTTTTATTCCACTGTTATTGGAGAGTATTGCAAATATCTGCGAACTCTAAGAGAAAATGCAATTTAGCATCATTTAGGCTCCTCAGCACTATTCTTTCGGATAGCGTGCGTTCAGTTTGTAGACCCTTTTAAACACGAGTAAACAGAGGATAAATAAAGAAAAAAAGGCAACACAATGGCATAAAAACAATTTCCTCTGTATTTGTAGACCTCTTATCATTCTGTTCACATTTTGTTGTGACCCATTAAAACTATTTTCTCCAAATGCCTCCAATTTTGGATTTAAAAGGACCTTTGCATTGCTGTAATAATGCCTTTACCAACAGGGCTGCACAGTATATATTGGGGTTGCTGATAAATTAAACAAACCGCACCATTAACCTCAAAGCTTTTTGAAAATTAGCCAGGCTCTGACTTTTTTAGCTGCAGTGTTTTATTTACAACCCACTGCTTTTCCAAAAGGATTTAACTTATGGAAAAGCATTATTTTATCATATAAACCCCTCATGTCGTCTTAAATAATTTGACATGGTCACAAGGAGGCAGTGTTGCCACTCTCCTAGCAGTCCTCCTGCCACCAGCAGAATGTGTTGATGGAAGGAATCCACTTATTTAAGGTGTTAAAAGTGCTCCTGATTTGCCACTGTAATCCTGTCCATTTCACAGGGGCAAAAAAAAAAAAAAAAAAAAACGCGGTGAAGCCTCCTCGCTCTGGAGTCCATGTTCTCTCGGTGACACAAAGTGACACCGCAGCCAGCCTGAGGACACATCAAGGTCTAATTACTCCTCAGGTGACAAGACCCCGGTGACATCCTCTCGCTGAAATGGGATTTTATGAAGATTGAAAGCTGACAAGACAAGTGTTTCCATTTATATCAGTTAGGATTTACATCAAGTCACTGGGAAGAAGACTGCAGCTCTGATTAGTTCCCTGCCTCTTGTTACTAAAGGGAGGGATTCTGAATGCAGAAGTGTGCAGACATAATAGTATGGGTGTATATACCATATATGACACCCCTGGGCGCAGCACAGGCTGTCTAGTTCTGGGTGTAGTCAACATCATATTTAGTGGGCTGGGACAGGCTGAGGGGCGAGAAAGGGGGCAGCCATTCTCTAATGATCAAAATAACACTTTGTCACTGTAATAGTCCACTGTTCTTCATTCTTTACACCCACCTGACAGAACATTTCTCATAGCTTTGTTTACACCAGTGCTGCTGCCCTTGTGGTCTACAGTGACATATATAAAAATGTTGCCCCATAAACCATGATTATTTTCATTGCAATTGATGTACTGCGATCACTTAGACAATTCCCTTTGGAAACAGGCATCCCGAGGAAGACATACAGGCCCGCAATTTTGATTCAAACGTCAATGACAATGTGAGGCTTTGTTTATGAAGACGAGGAGCAACAGATGGCAAGCATATCTATAAATAAGTCGCTCTTCCGAATAGGAGATTAGTGCATTTGAGCTGGTTTTTAATGGTCTCTGGGAGAGATTAAAAAGTAAGCTGATTCATAATGCGTTTCTCTTTGCGGTGAATCACTCATAAACAAGAGTCTGGAAAGAATCTGTAGGAAAAAAATAAAAAATCTCCAACATGCTTAAGACGGGAAGTTATATGAATAAGCAAAAGTCAGACATGACACACGTCTTCATGGCCGCAATTTCATGAATCTAACAGTGTTACCAGGGGCATGGATTAATGAAAGCATTCTACAGCTTTACAAATAACACCCTGTCTGCGTTTCCCCCTTTCTTCTTGATCACTGCAGACCTTTCAACCCTGCAGACCTCACCAAGAAATATGTGCATAAATACCACCTTTTCATTTTCCATATATATATATATGTACATGTATACATATAAAATATAAAAAAATATATAAACATCATCATTAATGCCTGCAGCAGTTATTCCAGAGCACAAATCAAGCCACAAAAGCAAAACAATTCCAAAGTTCATAGAGGATAGAGCGCTGATAAATATACATAAACCCATCTTGGTTTTAGCCTCTGGGTCACATTTTCTCCAAGTTATTGAAATAGAATGAAGAGGGAAAAAAAAATCTCAATTATATAACCAGTTCTGATCAGCCTACAGATAGCCGCCCACCTGAGGCTACCTCAGCATCCTCCACAAATATTGACAGAATTCTTATCTTTTTTCCACATTTTCTAACAAATATGAAGCTTGTATATAAATCCTTTTTTAAAAAAAAGTTTACCACAAAGGCCCTTTTGCATTCATTGCGAATGATGAACTGATAAAGTGGATTTGTGGCTGTATCTTTATATATCTGCAGTCTGGATAAACTCTACTGTCTTTTAATGACATCAGTGTCACTGTCTGTTCTCTGTCAGGAAACCGGAGACTCACCATGTTTGGCTTTAATAATGACCGGGGCTTTATTTGGCTGTGTTTCCTGAACTTAACTGGGTTTTCTTATTTAATGAATTCATAAACACGCCCGGGAGAAAAGCATGCTTGACCTATGAGAGGGTGATTGGATTTCCTGAGCGCTATTGACAGCTTGTCCTAACAAGTAAAAGCAACCTAAGGAGTCGTACAGTCCTAATCAATTTCTCCATTGAGTAAAGAGGACAATTACGTAGCTTCTTGAGACTTTCCTGTAACTGTACATACTGATTTGAAATTTTCCAACCATTACCTATGTTAACATACATCATCTGAACACAATAAGCCCTATTAAATATATATACAGCAATAATTTGTATGCTGAAGGCCAGTCAGCTCTCACTCGACTCACAGCAAAACATAGTGCATGTCTCACTCATCTGCATCGAGATATGGAATGATGTATGTTCACATTTTCTGGACGGTTCTCAATTCTCAGAGGTCATATGTGAGCCTTCACTTTGTGTTTCTATTGCTAATGTAATTATATCCGAGAAAAGGGCGTAAAACATACATAGAATAGGCTTTGCTCTGAAACTATCTCTGTCTAGTGGCTCATCATGTGTCTGTCTTACTCATCAAGGAGTTATCAAAGTTAATGGTACTTTTCATGTCCCAGTAGACACACAGTATGCTTTCCTGCCACAGTGGTATCTGCATTATGTCTTTTTCAAAAATGCTTTCTGTGAGGATGAGAGACATGTTAACTGAAGAGAGATCTGTTTTTTTTAATGGTTATTAGGAATTGTCTCACCCAGAAAAAAAATACAAAATACTAATAATAGAGTGAGGCAATAGCTGCAGTAATGTAATGTATGCAAAATACATAATCTTGGTTTTATAATTTTCTACAATTTTTTGCATAGCAGATCAAATATTATTATTATAATCTTGTCTCATCTTTTATAATAACAATACACTTTATTTAGATGGACTATGTGTCAAAATGTGGTTCTAACTCTGTTAGTTAAGTTTTTACTGTTGTGCTTCATCGGGTAGTATGCCAGTATAGGAGTGCTGATTGGTTTATGGGTGTGTGTGTAAAATACAATGAAGCTACCATACTGATCACATGTGTTGTAACTGCTTATTGAAGTTTGTCCTCAGATATATCCTTCTGAGCACTAATGGTGAATGGTAGGTTCAGCAATGTGAGATGCAGAAACACTATTCTTAACATTACACACAAGCAAACAGGCTTAGAGGGCTTTAATGGTGGCTGATGGCAGAAGCAGGCACTTTGCCCTGGGTTGGTGTTTGTGAAACGCCGCCTCCTCTGCTCGCGGTAACTTTATGATAATGACATGGTAATGGAGGGACTCAGCACCGCGGACAGCTCCGGCGTGTGGCTCCGCCCCCTTTTTTTCCTCCAGCGGCTGCGTGTCGCGCGCGGCGGCCGACCAATAGCTGCCGCCGCCTCAGTTTAGCACTGGATACAACAGAGTGAGCTTCAAAGAGCCTGTCCACCCAGAGAGGAGAGGGAACCTCACTCCGGCTGTGATGCGTAGCGGGACTCTGCTGGCTGAACAACACTTCTTCTATGGGATAAAACCTCCCGGTCACATTTAACCGCTTACCGTGTGTGTGTATGTGTGTGTGTGCGCGCCGCGAGGACTGAGAAATGCTCTTGTAGCGCGAGCGCGAATTACATTATCGCCCGCGTTTTTGCTTCACAAAAAAATATTTGGAGCTTACTTGGAGCCGTTTGGACGCTGAGTCAAGTTTTTTTTTTTTTTGTATTAACTTGAATTCAATTTGTGTCGTTTACTTGGAGCCCAAAGCCCGGGAAGAGATGGAGAGCGAAAAGTACTTGCCGGAGCTTATGGCAGAGAAGGACACGCTGGACCCGTCTTTTCAGCACTCCCTGCGGCTACTGGATCAAGGTAAATGTCCGTGGCGAAATACTGAAGTAAACAGTTTAGCTGTGTGGAAAGTGTTTGAGTGTGGAGCACAGTTTTCAGGTTTAACGCTCGGTGCTGGGCTGCGGGCTACATGACTCCACCGTGCAGCCCGCCTACTTCAAGTTATAAATAAGAGGTTTGTGGGTCTACTTACAATTTCCTGTTTGGTCACACTAAAATAGCGAGGTCCTTTTAGCACTGTGGCTGTTTTTGCCAAGTTGTTATGCAGCAAAGGTGCCATGTAGCCAGCCACCTCCTGTAATGTAGAAAGCAGTAAACTGGGGCAGGTTTGACTGAAGACTGCACCTGCTTCATTACTCAGCCCAGATGTTAACAAACTTTTCACTTGAATTGGACAAGCATTGGGACATGAGACTGTGCATGATGGCATTCTTACCACTGGCAGTCTCTGAATGAGGGTTTTTCGCTGCTGGTTTTGACCTGGCACAAAGCTAGGGGAAAATGTTAAGGAAGGTAACTGATGTCAAAGTGAATAAGTTGGCAGAAAATGCACCTGTTTTTTAGTTGGGATAGCACAGGATCACAGCCAGCAGTGTGTGGATGGAGGCAGCCCTGAAAGGCTTGACATCCCACTTTGCAGGCTGCAGTCGTCTCTATCCCATGCAGACATGTGTAAGCCGTGGTGTGAGTAGTGGAATAATCACACTCTTATTCAAATGTACATGTGTTTCCTCCTTTGAAGAAGTGGACGTGACTGAAATGGAATTTTGAACGGATGGAGCAGCAGCAGCGCTTGCAGACGCTTTAATTAATCCGTTGCACAGCCTTCTGCTTTGAAGCTGTCGGAATTTTCGCAAACACTTCTTCAGATGCAGCCCCGTGGAGCTCCTCATGTGGGAAGTGCACTGTTACAGCATCCAAGTGCTTCAAGTACCACTCATGGGCTTTGTCTAGAGTCTAGCAGACTGTTGTTGGCTTTAAAGGTAACAGACAAGGAGCAGTAGTCTGTAAACAGCCCTGCTGCACTGTAACTAATTCCATTGAACCCCAAGATAAAGCTCCTGCACCAAGGTGTTTTTACTCAGGCAGCCATGTCCCTTTTAGTTCCTGCCTCCCAAACTTGGGACCTCAAGAGGTCCTTAAAAGGGTTCCAGTGGGGCCCCAGCAAAGTGAGGCATGATTTCATTTTAATGTTGTTTACTTTCTGGAGTTTAGTGACAAACAGAATGACTTTTCTGGATCTGCTGTCACATTCTAAAACCTATGATATGAATATAGTTACTTTAGGGCAGCAACCAATGTTTATTTTCATTTCTGACATTACTGCATTACTGTGCAATGTAGTCAGAAAATAGTGACAAAAGCCCAGTGTGATGCCCTCAAACTGTCCAAAGATATTATTCAATTCACAATCCCTTAAAACAGAGAAAAGCAGCAAATCCTCACAACTGTCAAGCTTGCCCTATGAATATTTTGCATTTCTGCTTAAAAAAGACTTTACATGAATCAATTATGAAAATAGTTGCTGGTGAAATTTCTGTCGATCGACTCTTCCATCAATTGACTGTTGATAGAGTGAAATGACCTGGATCATTTCATCTTTTTTTCCCCGTTGTCGATTAACCCGTCGGTCATTTCTCGATTAATTGATTAGCTGTTCGGTCTATAAAATGTTTTGATCATAGTTTCCCAAAGCCCAACGTGACGTCCTCAACTGTCTTGTTTTGTCCCCAGGCCAGGTATTCACTTCACTGTCATAGAGGGTAAAGAAACAAGGAAATATTCACATTTGAGAAGCTGTAATCAGAGAATTAGTTTTTTTCTTTAAAAAAATGATTAAAGTGATTATCAAAATAGGTAGAGATTAATATATTAATTGAAAACTAATCGACTGATCGTTGCCACTGTTATCTCCTTCCTTTCACAAACAATCACAAATGCAAAATTCTTCCTCTCTGATCTGATTTGTTCTCATGAAATTGGGTTTGGTGTAGAAATTAATTGCATTTTGGAATTGTTTGGAGCTTCTGACATGAAAGAGTTTGGTGCTGCTGCTGTGTCCTCAGATAGCCTACTAATAAAATAATAGTTATGTGCTGGCTTGAGAAACGCATAGGATATGTGAGAGCCAGTGATTCCAATTCTAACCTTCGTACAGTATATTATCGCCTTTTAATATGATGGTGTGTAAAATGAAATACCTCTATACTCGTAGAACCACTGTCTTCTTTTCATTCAGCGTGTGTTGGAGTAATGGATGTAATGGCTTGACAGTATCGATGCAGAGTCTTGTTTGAAAGAACAGACGTCGGCTAATGCATCTTTCATTGAGCTGATTCATGTACAGTAAGGTAAATTCCTCCCAGTCCGCCAGGAAAGATAAGGCTGTGTTTTACTCAGCAGTTTTTGTTATCAGCAGCTTTCGTTACTCAAATCTGGGTTAGCCTTTTTTTTTTTTCCTTCTAAGAACACATATCCGCCTCACCAAGACCGGAGCACTGAATACTTAATGCCAGTTGAAAGACACTTAGCAACCGCTTCCTTGACAGAGTCTCTCTTAAATTCTTTTATCCACACTGCAGGTCTTCTGTGGAGTTATAGCAAATATTGGCCACTTCCCAGACTGAAAATGATGGAATACTTAAGAGTATGAGGCAGGACAAATCAAAAAAGAATTATAGAGTAAATGGTCCCCCTGTGTTTTACATTCATATAGTTTTACCTAACACAAGTTCTGGATTTAACAGTTCCAATAAAGTTAGTTTGTGATATTTCTGGTGGGGGCAAAGATTGCAGTTGGACACCATCGCGAGTGGCAGAATTAATCCGTGACATTTTATGAAGTAAGCAGTACTCTGCGGTGCACAAAATTTGGCCGAAACAGTCTGCCACAACTCCAAAACTGTAAATACTGTTATCTCTCTCTTACACAACAGATGGAACACGATGCAGCTTAATAGAGCACTTCTTCTGCCATCTTGCTGATGAGTTCTGGACTTGATTATGCAATTGGCAAGGGAAGCAGGGAACAGAGCAAGAGTAACTAGAGTTACTGCGTGCAAGCGGCGAATATGAGATTACTCCAGGTCTGGAGAGACTTCCATTCAGGAAAAATTAGGGGAGCATTGTGTTGGAAGCTTTGGGACAGGGCGGGCTGCTTTGATAAGTTTGGGCCATTCGCAGAGCTCTTCTCCCAAAAGGACCATATCTCTGCCCCTGTGACAAGCCTCATACAGTCAGCAGCAGACACTTGGAGCTGGAGAAATATCTAAGGCCAAAATAAGAGACAAGCAGGACCAGCAGCCTACATGGAGTAAAAAATCCTCAGCAGCATACTAATGACAGGCTTCTAGGTACAGAAGCACCTAGGGTGGCATGAAGTGCATCTGTTATTTATATGAAATCAGTGCTACCCTACAGGACATGGAGGCACAAGGGCCGCAAGCAACACTTCTTTCCACTATTTGTTTATCAGTTAGTTCATTCTTGACCTTGGAAACAGTGGTTTGACAGAAAAACACATTTTAACTTTATTATTTGAAATTCTAATTACCATTCTAACTCATTTTTATTCAGTCTGACCCATTGCCTGCCCCGTTGCCAACAGTAAACTAGGCTACTGTTTTTGTCTTTGCTCATGTAAAATTGAGAGAACTAGCAAGTCATCACACCAAAGCATCTCAGAAGTAATGAGTAGAAAAAGGCTGATTCTGTAACTTACAGTAACTTTAGCTTGTCAAATTAATGAAATAGGAGTAATTCTATTTTATGATTAGGCTATGTGGTTTGTTTTAAAGTTAATTCAAACAAATTTTGGGTTTGTTGGAATACTTTGGAACATGATTTATTGAAAAGTGACAGCCCTAGTCTACTTGCTAGCTTTATCTGGTCATCATTTATAACGGTTGTGAGATGTGGTTGAAATTTTCAGGAAAATCTTTTTTATTTTATAAAATCTAAAGAGAGCCCCAGAGCCCAGGGCACATCTCAAATAGCCTGTTTTGTCTGACAGCCTAAAATACAAAAGTATTTCATTTAAAATCATATAAAACAGAGAAAAGTATATTTAATAAGTGACTTAAATGATTAAGACATTGTCAGAATTAAAGTTACATATGTATATAAAATAATAATCACTAACTCCAAACCACCAATGTATTTAAATGAACATTTTGATCCCAGTCGGGTCTTTGCCAGGTCAAATGGCTAAATTTGGTCACCACACCCATAAATATACCAATGGGCTGATAGGCTCCGTGATGACAGGTATGGTCAACCATTCAAACTAGCCAAGATGATAAACATGTCAAAACAATGAACAAACTGAACAAGTACCCATAGAAAGCTGTGACAAAAATACATCCAGACATCCACAGTTCACACAATAATACACCAGATATACCAAGTATATCAAATACATACAAAATAACCAAAATGTACTACTACTATTAACTACTGTACGTTACAAAGATATGATTCAAATATTGTAAATGAGATAAAAATGTCATCATTAGATTAACATTATTGTGATTATCACAGCTGTTAAGACTCACATTGCTCGACACTATATGAATAGACCTATTATGCTTGTGTGAATTTCCTGGAGAGGTTTTGCAAACAAAAACACATTTAAAATGTAAAGTGACTCCCTGCACCAGATGTATTCTGTTTGTTCAGCGGAGCAGCGTGCAGCCCACTCTGAATGTTTCAGGACCTCTGGCCCATTTTGGACGCCGTAACCTCAGTGCTGCATATAAGCTCCATATCTAGTGCTTTTTAATTGGATATTCCACAGCAGGAGCCCAGCACAATGTTTGCATTACATTAACAACCTCCGCTAACTTTACATTAACAACAACAACAAAACTCCCTAAAACATACATTATCTGCACAGATTGAGCAGGTGTGGGAAAGTATCTTTATCCTATGATGCCCCATGGTTAATTCACACATTTCCATCTCATCATCAGAACAGTGGGGTATTTTTAGCTGTGCTTGAGTTTTGCCCCGAGTGAGAGCAG